AATTATTTATTATATTAAAAAATTTTTAAACACAAGTGCCGGTAGTGCATATTTACCTAGGATTGTAACTGACAAAACTTAGTTTAAAATAAAACATTTGTCATACACAAACATAGATATTGTTTTTTGATATTTAACAATAGTGTATTAGATGTTAATTATATGGAGAATTTATCAACTGTAACTCAGTGGTGCTGTTCAGCAACAGGGTAATCAACACTTAGTAATATAAGTTAAATATTAACCTCAAAAATGAACTTTGCGGAATAGCAAAGTCACTATGAAAAATGTAAAGCATGTACATGAAGTAATCGGAAAGAAATGGGATTTTAGCTTCTTTAGTTCAATTGTATTGGATTTACACCAGCAAGTGTACTTGAATAGTGTTTTGTTTGTGGACAAACAGATAGCACTCTATAGTTCCTGTTATGTGTGATCCATTCATATCAGTACAGGTAAATACAGCTGCTTTCAGAACATCAGTTTTAGGGAAGTGTTATCCATGCAGACTTATCTTGAGAAAATTAATAAAGATTAGAGCCACACAATACTACATCATGTATGATTGTTGTCCATTTGAAAGGGCTGTTACTTACACATTTCAACAGCAGTCAGTGTTATTACATTACATACACGATGACAGAACAATGTCAAAATGTAGTTCTGATATCTACCATTTCACTTTAACTTTACATAGGCGTTGTTTGCAATGTGACTTGCTAATTTGAATAATTAAAATCCTTTTAGTATAATATACTCAATTATTTATAGCTGTAAGTTAATATATTTTTACTAGAGTACTTTGGTAGTTGTATTTTCTTCTCCAGTCTACTAGCTAGGTGTGTGTGAATATTTTTTAATGGAGTTTGGTAGTTGTATTTTATTCTCCAGTCTACTAGTTAGGCATGTGTAAATATTTTTTATGGAGCTTCGTAGTTATATTTTCTTCTCCAGTCTACTAATTAGGTGTGTGTGAATATTTTTTAATGGAGTTTGGTAGTTGTATTTTACTCTCCAGTCTACTAATTAGGTGTGTGTAAATGTTTTTTATTTAGTTGGTAGTTGTATTTTCCTCTCCAGTCTACTAGCTAGGTGTGTGTGAATATGCTTTATGGAGTTTGGTAGTTGTATTTTCTTCTCCAATCTACTAGCTAGGTGTGTATATATTTTTAGGGAGTTTGGTAGTTGTATGATTTTCTCCAGTCTTCTTGCTAGGTGTGTAAATATGTTTTATGAAGTTTGGTTGTCGCATTTTCTTTTCTAGTTTACTAGCTAGGGATGTGTGAATATTTTTAATGGAGTTTGGTAGTTGTATTTTCTTCTCCAGTCTTAATGTATTTTGATTTTTGTCAAGTTTAGTTGGTATGAAAACTTTAATAGACTACAACTTCTTGTTGAAAGAAAATAAGATGAAGTTTTGGCTCCTATACTGAAACATTGTTTGCAGTATATTTTGTGCAAGTTGTAAGATGTATTTTCTTTTCCAGTTTACTAGATAAGTGTTGATATGTAGTATTTCTTCTACAGGTCATTAGTTGTGTGTTTCTCTCCAGTCTCTATAAGAATGTATGTTGGCTAGTCCAGCTTCTTGGAATTGTTTGTATAAAGAAATTGAGTATTCACTCAAAATCAGGTAAGAGAGAGAAAATTTAACATGTATGTGGGAAAAACAATTCAAACATCCTAAGAATGAAAGTATACAGTTATTGCAACTCCACTACATATGTCAGACTGGACACATATCAACTGGAAGAATAACAAAACACCTGGACACAGCATTGGAAAAATCAGAAATCTCTGAAAATACTTTCATATAAAAGTACATACTGACCATCAAACTACCTTACTACTGAGACAAACCAATAACATCTGTAACTGACTCTTTAGAAACAACATATTCCCAATGGTGACATGTACAACAAAACAGCTTCTGGACAGCTAGTCTCCCAAAACAACATATCCCCAATGATGACATGTACCACAAAACAGCTTCTGGACAGCTAGTCTCCTAAAACAACATATCCCCAATGGTGACATGTACAACAAAACAGCTTCTGGACAGCTAGTCTCTCAAAACAACATATCCCCAATGGTGACATGTACAACAAAACAGCTTCTGGACAGCTAGTCTCCTAAAACAACATATCCCCAATGGTGACATGTACAACAAAACAGCTAGTCTCCCAAAACAACATATCCCCAATGGTAACACATACAACAAAACAGCTTCTGGACAGCTAGTCTCCCAAAACAACATATCCCCAATGATGACATGTACAACAAAACAGATTCTGGACAGCTAGTCTCCCAAAACAACATATCCCCAATGGTGACATGTACAACAAAACAGCTTCTGGACAGCTAGTCTCCCAAAACAACATATCCCCAATGATGACATGTACAACAAACTGCTTCTGGACAGCTAGTCTCCCAAAACAACATATCCCCAATGGTGACATGTACAACAAACTGCTTCTGGACAGATAGTCTCCCAAAACAACACAGCCACAATTATGACAGACACACACATATGATACAAGTGACAGTAACTCACAGTAGTGTTTCTGGGAATGTGACATACAATGTTGCATTTAGTGTTTTATAAATTATTAGCTGGAGTACCTGGGAATGTAACATACAATGTAACATTTAGTGTTTTATAAATTATTAACTGGAGTACCTGGGAATGTAACATACAATGTAACATTTAGTGTTTTATAAATTATTAACTGGAGTACCTGGGAATGTAACATACAATGTAACATTTAGTATTTTATAAATTATTAACTGGAGTACCTGGGAATGTAACATACAATTTAACATTTAGTGTTTTATAAATTATTAGACTGGAGTACCTGAGAATGTAACATACAATGTTGCATTTAGTGTTTTATAAATTATTAACTGGAGTACCTGGGAATGTAACATACAATGTTACATTTAGTGTTTTATAAATTATTACCTGGAGTACCGGGGAATGTAACATACAATGTAACATTTAATGTTTTATAAATTATTAGATGGAGTACCCGGGAATGTAACATACAATGTAACATTTAGTGTTTTATAAATTATTAGCTAGAGTACCTGGGAATGTAACATACAATGTAACATTTAGTGTTTTATAAATTATTAGCTTCAGTATCCGTCCCTTGGATGTGTAAAATAAAAACTCATTTGTAACAAAGGATAGGAAATTGTACTTCTATTTTTTTCTTAACTTAATAAACATTAAAAGTGCAATAAAAATACGTGAAGGTACTAATACTGAAAAGAAAGACAAACTGTTTTCAAGAATTCTAACAATAGTGATTACATAGGTCATTCTAATGCTGAGGGATATATACAATATTGGTAGTTTATCCGAAATTAGACAT